GTTGTTTTTTATATATATATGTATCTAAACCCAGCAGTTGCTCTTGCAATATGTATAAAAGGTTGCAAGAGCAACCTTAATTTCAGCAGGTGGGGTTTTTAATACTTTTAACATACATTCAATGACTGCATGAAATACTAAGGTTGAAGTATCAATTGAGGGGACACATCCCTCCAACACGTTATGGATGTGTGCGATAAAGGGAACATACCTCATTCAGTGAATGCTCCCAAGATGAATCACAATGACTGCCATTTGCCTGGATGTCTAAGATGATATTAGGGGTCCAATTTCCTGGAACAATGAAGCTAGTGATCACTTGACATTGAATGAACAAGCAAAAAGGTAAGTGGGGATGTAAGTTGTTTAGGGATAGATAATCCTGCCTTCTTTCCTGACAGAATTTCTGTTCTTCCTTAAGAAAAAAAGAAGAATCATATAGGGGCTTGCTGGATGAACTCTTTGTATTTCTATTAACTATGTATTTGAAAATTGTGTATATACTTAGTGTGTTTGTTCTCTCTTCAAGTCTTTTTTCAAAGACGTGCTTTTTTTTTCTTTCTGAGCAAAGACTGCAACAGCAATTGCGGTATCTGCTATCCTTTCTCAACCACTGCAGTTGCACTGCTAGCAGAGAAGGGGCATAATGAAATTCAGAAAAGCTAAATCAAGATCTGTTTTGGTACTGATAGTGAAAGCCTTTCCCCAGATTAGATGGTACTAGAAAATAATAAGGCTTGAATGTACCTTTTGCTGGAAACGGTTCCAAAGCTAGTGTGAAGTTTCAGATATAAAAGCATCTACGCCTTGGCACTGTTGTCGTTCTAACTTGGACTTAACACCTGCAGTTCTAGCAAACTGGGAAAAGTAGGTTTTTACAGAGCAGCAAAAATAAGATTTTTATCCATGTGTTGTTGGAAACGGCAGTCTGACCATATCAGTAGCTGGACTAGACAGTATGGGTTCACCTAGCCCTGTCCAACAGTTGCCATACGTTAAAGCCTAGGAAAGACTGCGCCCAACTCATATTCTCCCAGTCTTCCATTTTCTTTCATCTCAGAGGCTTGCCTGAGCCTTTTGTGGTTTGTTACTATTACTATTTAACACATATGAATTTAACTGTTTTCAGGCAGGTCTACAATACAGAGACATCTGATCCCTCTTAAGGCTCTGGAGAGTAGATCTTAGAAGCTGAGGTTTATCTATTTGTCAGTATGACCGAACATCTCACCTTTGCAGATAACAGAAATTACTTCAGAGCTTTAGATACTGGATTGTATTGTACAAATGAATGTATTTAAGGCGTTGTCAATCTCTGTGATGTTTAATTACATGACTATCAATATTCTGGTTTAGTTAACTCCATGTATCTGTGATATTCTTACCTTTCTTACTTGTTCTGCTGGCATGGTCTAGTGCAGCCTTCCTAAGTTTCTGGACATATCGTAAAATTCCTGTTAGTGGTATCCGTTGATCATTTTCATATGCCGTGATAAAAACTGAAGGATAACACTGAGATTAAAAACCAAAACCAGTTAAATACTTGACAACTGATTTTTCTCGTAAAGTGAGTAACAAATTCTTCTCTATTTATCTTACTGTGCTACTTGCTATGGTTTATCTAAAAACATATGTATTACATAACTACCTGCTCTTAGAAAAGCACTTTTATCACTCTAACTGAAGTAAGTATTTTGGTCTGAAAAATTACTTCATATTAGGGGATCATCTACTTGCAAAAGGTAATCAAAAACATCCTCTCCCTACTGGTAAAGGTCTAATACGTGTTCGCTTGTTGACGATTACAAAAAAAGGGGAGTAATAATCATGGAATGGTTCACCTTAAAACAGTAGTTCAGGTTTACTCTTGCAATCTTTCTACACATAAAAAGTAGTTGTTTCATATAGTAAGATTTTACTTAATGAAGCTATGCAACTCAGCTAGCACCTTACTTCAAATAAAGATTTCCCCTGAGATGACAATGTCAAAGCTATAGCTCCTATTCCATTTCATTGTTTCCCACTGAAAAGGCATTTAATCAGTGGAAAATACCTCCTTCCTCCTGTGACAAACTCTGCAAAACCCAGTAGAACAACAGAACCCTCCCAAAAGGAGAAAGTATTTTACATGTTGAGGTTTGTTACACGATAGCATAATCTATTACTTCCTGGCAGTTCTGTAAAAAAAACAGTTTTTGAAATCTATTGATTATTTAGGAGAAGGTGTTTGGTTAATTTCAGTAGTCACTTAGGACTCCAAATATTGCTAAGATTATTACTGAAATAGTTTATATTTGTATTGATGATCCATTTTAACACAAAGCAGCAAAGACAATTCTAAAATACTGGGGTTTAAGGCACTGAAAAGGTAAAACAGACTTTTTTTTTTTTTAAATTCCAGTGATCCATTTTTGTTTTCTTATAAAGTGCTACACTTTATTACTGTAGTATGCCACACAAAAAGCATAGTTTTACCTGTGTCTTAATATTCTCGTATGGACAATAGCTTTTGATATACTGCATACATTTTTCATCTGCTAATGGATTTCCCCATTCTTCCTGTTCTTCAATTGTCAGTGGGAGATGAGTTTTCATCATTGTATTTAGAACATCTACGAAAGGAGCCTTAGAAGTTATTAAAAAAAAAAAAAAAAGGTTGGCAAATAGGACACAGGACCTCAAACGCCTAGGTCAAGGTTTTCTCAAACAAATGCGGAAAGTGAATTCTGAATTGGAATGTTTCCAATTCTGAAACTGGTAGAATGAAACAGAAAATAGTTTAAAGTCGTAATCCGTAAAAGGTCTCCAGCACCTCACCTGTAAAACCATGGCTCTGATAAGTTCTGGATCAGTGTTGCACAGGGCTCCTGCAAGAACTCCTCCAGCACTGGCAGCTGCTAGTGCTGTGTATTTTGGCTGAGAAAATCCTAGTTCATGCAGCAGCATGATGCAAGCCTTAAGGTCGTGGAGACCTTTGAGTTTATTATGCTGACATCCATCTTTGTGCCAGCTAAGGCCTAGCTCTCCTCCACCCCTGAAAGTTAAAGCAATTCAAGTTGGAGTCTCTTTGGAAAACATTACATGGCAAAGCTTCAGAAAATGAAAGGACAGCAGCAGCCGCAAAATTGCAAAACCATAGTTTGCCTTCCCAATTAACTCTTCTTTTTTTCTATTCTTGTCTTTACCCTCCTTTATAGCTAAAATACACAATATGCAAACAAAAAAATCCATGCATGATGACTTGTGAAAGTCCTAACTGCATAAGGGTACTCTGTGGAAAAGCACCACTTTAGGATATGACACCATCATTGTAGGCAATACAAAATCAGACACTAATATTATCTTTTTATACAGGAAACTATTAAAATATCTAGAACATTTTCCATACTTGTATCACTAACACTAGCATTTATTAAACAATAAAATAGTATTTCTCAGCTGCACATTGAGACTCTCAGGATTTTTCTTCTGTGTAGCTTAAATTCTGAGACTGTTAGAAAGTTGTTGTTTTTTCTAGTTTGTGAATTTCAAATACTACTTGAAATGTTACATTTTGTAATACAGAATTTTAAAATTTATTTATATTCCTTTCTATGCAACCACAATTTTGGTTCTAAGCCACCTGAAGCTTCCTTATTCAGGTTTCAAGTTTAAAATTAACTGATTAGTCTGCCAAAATTCTTCATCTTTGGATGAAGAATCCATCCTCATCTAGGACTGACTTGCATCTTAAGATACTTAGAGGGGTGGGAGGAAGAACAGCACAATGCTTGCCACTGAATATAGCAGACCGAATATATTTGTATGCTGAATATGTTTTGGAACTGGCATTTCAAACGAGTGCTCATTCTCCCCCTTCCTTCCCCTCCCTAAAGCGGTTCTTTTGTTATCTTCTTTACCTACTGAATTATTATCTCAATGAAAATGTGAAGCCTGTTGTATACAGCGGTTTTATAAAACTAGTAGATTTGTAGCGAAACTGGAGACAGAGGATTTCGCCAACAAAAGAACAAGAGATGCAGGTTAAATGCTTAGTTGTTGCTGTTGAAGGCAAATGGCTTTCAGAAGACACAGACTGAACATTAGTACACAGTGCCCTCAGAAACAGAGGGAGGTAGCATGTCATTGCAATTTGAAAATGTTATCAAAATCTTTCTTGAGCAAAGATTAGACAAGAAGTAATGAGACTTCCAAAGATTAAAAGTAACATACAACCATCCTGTTGATTTAAGAAATCTAAATGCAGTACATGGTCTTGAATGTTTTTTTTTTCTGAGGTAAATTTATTTTTTTGCTAAAAAACTGCTTTAAAAAAAGATCTAAAACGAGATGGAAGTGAAAAGCATGAAGAATTAGGTATAGCTACATGAAAAAATTATTTCTGTACCTCTTCAGCTGCAGATCAAGAAATATCTCTATATATCCCACAGATTAAACTCTTAATTCCATTTTATACTTGACTTACCTAACATGGCAATATGCTAATATCCAACCCTCTTCAATTAACATTAGCTTCTCTTCTTTGAAGCTCATGTTCAAATCTATGCCATAAGCTCCATATACATGAACTAGAAGTGGTTTCCTGTGTAGCTCTTTAGAATTCATATTATGAAAAACTGTAATTGGCACCAAAGTTTCATCCTGGAAATGAAGGAGTATTTTACAATAAAGGACATTTCAGAAATCTCAATGACACATGGCAATGAAAACGTCAATTATTTATTTTAAAATGTGTTTTTTTGATTACAGTAATTTTTTTTCACTTAGAATGTACAAAGCGCTCTTGAAAAATAAAGGGAGAGACCGAACCTCTGCTGTGCAGGCTTACGGAAGCAGAGTATAGAATTCATTTAAGTGCAACACCTGAGGAGTTTTTAAACTACCAAAGCACCCAAGTCTTCCTTCCCCCTTTAACACCAAGAATATTATTATTAACAAAATAGTTTACCACTTACTGCAGCACAAACTCTTTATTAACATCTCCAATTTTTTAAACTCAGGCTGTTAAAACTTTCCTTTCTTGATCTATACTGTGCAGCTGGTTGTGCGGTGTTCTTTTCAACAGCCGGCATCTTTTTCATTTATCATGGAGAGTATGATACCATACATCAACTAGCAATTCTAAGGTATACTATACTAAGATTCTTGACTCATTGTGTACTGTTATCTCCTCTAGCATACCCAGGTTAATGGGAAAAAAAACTTATCACGACTCTTTCTTGTTTTTTCTCTATAGCACTGAAGAAAACACCCACTGTTTAGTAACTATAGCACCAACTGCTCTTTATATTTTTTAATCTCTACTCCCTGCCAAATACATTTGCTTTAAATGGGTGGGGAGGAAGGGAAGAATAAAGGGAATGGGAAAAGGACTGAAAGATCTTACCTTGCTTTTAGCTAGTAAACGTGTAGTGTGACAATTCGTAATAATTGGTACCTCTTGCACAGCTTGTTCAATGAGATTATTTTCTTTAAATGAATATGCAAAACGCTTAGGGGGGTGTACTGGGGAGGTGAGCTGAAAATAGCAAGTGCTGGTGGTATGTTCAGGATGAGATTCCAATTCAAATTCACAGGCCCACGTAGGTAGCTGAGAAAACACGGCATTTCAAGTGAGAACCTTACACTGCTTCTGTAAATTTTGCCTAGTGTGTCCTTCAGAGGAAAAGATTTTGAATATAAAACTAATTATCTTCAGTTTGTATGTAGCACAATCTGTATTTCTTTTAAATTCAGTAATGAAACAGTCAAAAAGTCAAAGGCTTTGGCAAACTTTTCCCCTAAGGCCACTGGATCAAGTTCAACAATGAAATAAGAAAGAAAAATAAATCCAAATTCAGTTTAAAATGGGCATTAGTGCAGATTTTTTTTAAAAACTGAAACATTCTTTGAAACGATTCTGCATTGTTTTTCTTTTTTAGATCCTATTTCCCCTCCAATTTCCAGTCCTACTTCAACATGTTACACAGCCAAGTCCATGTCAGTTGTTATGCTTTTGCTGTGAGTTAGCTCAGTAATGCTAAGCCACTGAAAACCCCTGCCTCTTAACTTTGTTCCTAGTGCCAGCCATTGTGAAGAACAAAACCTTTTCCTGGCACATTCACCCTCAGACACTTACTGCTATTATATTTAAGATTTTTTAACTCTGCTAAGAATAAAAGAAATCAAGATTCATTCTTTGAGAGCAGCAGGGACATAGTCAAACCCTCTGCCAGGCCACTGCTTACTTGGGTTAGGTTGCTAGAGACTTCTGAAATGGCAGCAAAAGTCAAAGTTCTCCAGAGTAGCTGCAGACCCTTTCTGAATAAACAAACTACAGCCATTTTAAAAAATATAGCTTTTGGAGACCATACAGCATACTTTGAAAACCTTTTTCTGTAGCAGTTTTATAGAATGCAGCATTGGTAGCTTGTTGCAATAAACTTGCGAGTAGTTCGGATTGTATTTTTCAGACGAACAAATCAATTATTTCATCTGAATGGTCTCCAGAAATCATGGTTTTCAATTGAGTCGCTTTGTTTTTAATCCACAAGTACTTAGCAACTAGAGAAGGGAAGGAATACTTGCACAAATTGGACTGCACTATCAACTCTTTCCATTTATTATGGGACAGTGCCCATATTTGTCTTCTGACATGTTCTAATCTTTCTTCTGTGGGAGGGCTAGGCTTATTTCCTTGCTCACACTGATGGGCATAACCAAAAATAGGCCCAATAAAACTAAGCAGACTGTTTATGGAATTAAGTCCTATTTTACATTAGAAATCAGCTGTATTGTAAAGAGCTTGACAGAAATAAGTTGAAGAAAGAACTGACTCATAGGATAGCTGCTCTCTAACTTTTTAAGTGCTACAGTAAGTCACCACATGAAATCCTGAAGAACAGCCACAGGTAATACAATTAGTCATAATGACAAACTTGGCAGTATTACTGTTTCCAAACCATTTCTACTCTTGGAATTTATCTTTGCTTTCATTGTATTATGTTAAAAAAAAAGAAATAGTGCTGGAAAAATATTATGCTGCTTAAGACAAGCTAAAACATACCTTTATTGACTGAACTGTATTTGAAACAAAAGAAATCACACTTAAGTAAAGATGACCAGCGTTCTTCAGGAACATTATACAGTGATCACGGAACATCTCCAAGTCTACTAGCTTGGTTTTCTCCTCCAATGCATAAACTAACTGCCAGTTCTCCATGCCACTGGAAGCTACTGGTGCCTTCATCAACTGTAAAAACAAAAACCAACCCTGCATTACTAAAATGTAGTAAGAGTTACAAATGAGATGTACAGACATATAGGTGATCTCATGCAACATTTTTATTGAAAAAAATTATTGGTTTGTACTGGGGGGGGTTGCCTGACTGAAACTTGAGCTTTTTAAACTCTCCTGACTTGGGCAGAATGGAAGAACAATTCAGTAACATTTGGAAAAGTAAGTTCAATTCTCATAGATTAATCTATAGAAGATTTTCATGCAATAAGTGCTTTCAGTGTGGCCAGCATAACTGTAGGTGGTTTAATTATATAGACTGAGATCACTAACTTAAATTTTAATATAAGGGAAATGACTGTTAACGCATACTCATTTCTTGATGTTGCCAAGGAGTTAGAATCAAATTGGCATGCTACAGGTAAGACTCCATGTACTACTATCAGTATTTCCATCCATGCAGTGCTCTCTGTAATTATTCTCTTAGATTATTTCAGTAAGCTGTGAAGCACAGAATTAAAAGCCAGCCTTACTATTTCTGTATGATCCGCAACAGGTATCTGAATGAATTGTATAAATCTTATCATCAGTATAAATTACCTTATATTCTGCAGGTTCTCCGTATGTAGTAAGAATATATAACTCGTCGTTTCTGTGCTCAATGTGGTAAATGACTCCTTTTGTTCGTGCTTGTACAAGAGCAGGTAACTTAAAAGGATGTCTACAGTCAACCAGCCAAACTTCTGAGGTTGTCTTGCTGTTGCTGTTGATAGTGAGAAAACGCCTATCTTTTGTGCAATATATGTCCACAAAGAATCTGTAAGGAATAATTTAAAAAAAAAAAAAAGCTTAAATTTGATTAGTATTTGAAAAATACATCAGTTGTTTCAGAATCATGGGCTTCCATCTGCACAGTAAGAAACAGCATGCCTGTAAGCAGACTGGAGAAATTCCAGACTACGGTTCCCAAACCCACTCCTGCTGCATTTATCCTGGGATTCAAAAACCCACACTCTTGTGTGTGGAACCTGAAATCTGCAAGGAAAGCAGTTCAGTTGCTGCCCAACTGAATCCAGGTTTTTGCATCACTCAGACTGGAAGCTCATTGATGTATATAGGATTTAAAATTCAGGCAAAATGTAGAACTCCTTATTGAGCTCGTAACCCTTTTTTTTTTTTTTAAAAAAAAAAAAGTAGTGACAGATAATGAAAGTTAAATTAATAAAGGACATCATGTGCGAACAGCAATAACAAAAGTAGGAGCTATTATAAATTGATAAAAAGCCTAAGTGTTACTGACCTAACATTGTCTGAAGCAAGTAAGACAAAAAAGATAATTTTTTAAAGAAGCACAGAGGCCTATATGAGACAAGATAGACAGTGTTGCAGTGATAAAGCTGGAAACTAGGAACTGGTTTTGGAACTATCTAAGAAACTAGAAACTATCTACTGGTTTTATATACTTCTAAAATCTAGAAACAGAAAACAGAATGATAACCAGTGGCTGGATGCTAATACGAGACAAGTTCAGGCTGAAATTCAGATTCAAATTTCTGAGTCATCCTAATTAACTGGAATGTCACATCTTGGGACATAGGAGTTTCTTTGCCATTTTGAATCTTTAAGACTGGATGTCTCTAAAAGCAAAACTGGCCAACACAAAGATGCAGAAGATTTCATCAAGAAATTGCAGGGTTGAGTACTGTAATCTGCATAATACAGATCAGATACATGACTACAGTAATGATCCCTCTAGGCTTCAAAATATTTGACTAGTGAAGGAAAGGATGCTTTATATAGCATTTTCAGTGCCTTTAATTATTTGCAGGTGGAGGAACTCCAATTTTTTTGGTACTATTGTTTTTTCTAATTGCACCCTCTTGACATCTTTAGGAGGACAGGCACAGCAGGGGATCTAAAGTCTGCAAGGAATCGGCCTCCTGCCTCTCTACTACACGCAAATTTGGCAAGAGCGCAGCACTGCATTCAGTAGAGATTCCAACAGTTCAGCTCTGCTGACCTTACCTCTAAGACAGTCAAGCTGAAATGCAGTTACACTTCTCCCCAAGGACTCTGACCTTGATATTACAATTTTTTTTTGTCTTTGTAGCTTTTTTTTTAACGAAGTCAAGAAATTTTCAGCTTCTAAAAAAAAAAAAATATTTGATTGCACCTAAAAGAGCTGGTAAGATGTAGAATGGAACTGCTCAATGGCAATACAAAAGAATGTCTTGCCATCTCTGATGACAACTGAGTTCAGTTATGAGCTGCAATAGCACACGAACCTTTAGAGTAAGTTTCTAGTAGATTTACTGTAATGACTATGACCTTCAGAATTATGCCAACAGTTTCCCTATGGGGAAGTGTCAGGTCAGTGCAACTTGATTTTCCAAAAGTATGTATCAAATGCAGCTGGAACAAAAGGATCTTATTTACTCCATCTCAAATGCAGATATTTTCTGGTTTTTTAGATGAAAGTATAATTGAAATTTCTTTATTGAATATGTAACTTGAAATAAGAATAATCACAAACATTTATGGAATGCTGTCTAAATCTACTACATGCTATATGGCTGAAAAACTAGTTCTGCATTCCATTTAGCAAGAGCCTTCTAGTCTTCCTAAACCACTACTTAAAGAAAGGTTATTGAGAGGGTATTCAGTCAACAATAGTTCTATCTCGGGGAATGCTGTAATGATTTTGCTCATCCATTACCCAGAGCAAGGATTAGCCTGAACGTCTATGTTTTTTAAAAGATGTATCAGACATCAATAGCAGAGAAAACAAAATGAAATCCACAATCTGATTTACCCTGTATGAAACTGTCACACATTCATTAAAGGACACCCTGACCCGAGACTGACCTTGACATTTATAAACTCAACTGAACTCGTGAGGTAAGAGAAGAAAGTCAAATCCCTGTTGATCGCATATCAAGAGGAGAACAGAGCACATTCTCAGACTGCATAAGGCACTACTGACAGCAGAACACAACTTAAAAATGCCTTTTACTATATGGAATACTATATGGAAGAATTTGTTTTCCAAAGCAGTTATATTTTACATATAAAATACTCTAGTGTATGTAAAGGACTTGTTATATTTTAGGTATTACCTTGCATCTTGTTCTGTATAAACTAACTTAGTATGTTTCTGATTAGTGAAAGTGGTCATAAACACATTCTGGCATTTTAGGTTCTTCTGACTTGTGTAATACAGAACATCATTTGTAGCCCATTCTGGAAAAAAGACAAATGCATATCAAATTTGGAACAGTATATACTATTACTGAGAGAAAATGGAGCTCTGTGAACACTGGACCCAATGCTGAAAAAGGTGGGTTGCAGCTGACATGGAACTGAGGACAGCACTTCTACACCCCAGAGGCTCGGGTAAGCCACAAAAAGATTTTTCCATGTTTTCTCTGAATCCCACACAATAAGAATCTCATAATATATTTAAAAAAAAAAAAAAAAAAAAAAAAGGGGCAGAGGACAATATTCCAGGCCCCAGGAAGAGAAAACTCTTGAACCTGTGGGGGTCCTGGCGGTAACAGGAAAATAGATGATGTGTGGCAGTTTAAAACAGAGCAGAGAAACAGGTTTACATGGAGTCAGCAAGATAGGAAAGAGGGTATGTGCTCTGCACCGCTGCATGTGACTGCATGCAAGCCATTTAGAGAAAAGATATGATGCGTGTGCCCCATGGGTGCTGCTGAGATAAAAATTTTCCATTTTTCTATGCTTGTACATGTGTTCACCAACATTAGAAACGTATAAATATAGGAATCTTGCTGTTCTGAAGTTCAGTAGTCTGATGCAGCCAAATTAGTGCTATCTCTGCTGCTCCTACAGCCACCAGAATGATGTTTAGTACATATGCTTTAAAAGGTTACTGTATGCTGTGTTATGAATAAATACTAATTTTCAGTACAAAACTCAAAGTACCACACTGAAGTAATGCAAACAATTTGCTATCTGAACAGCAACGTGGCTCCAAAGTGTACAGGTGGCTGAGGGTTCACTACAAAGGCAAGCCTTTAGAAGGGAAATCCAAGTTCTTCTGTAGCCTAGAATTTAAAAAACCACAGATGTAAATTTTCAAGAACATTCATTTGTCTGCCTGCTATTGCATATCATGCAATACAAACATGTACTTTGCAAGTGGTCGTAAGACCTAATTTTCTTGGTCATGACTGAGGTACCTCTGTACTTCATGGTATGTCTGTACCTCACTTACATCTGAGTAAGTTTACAAAATGGGTGTAATCTCTACCATTCTGACAGTCATTTTTTTACTCTGTCACACCTATGTAGGCAACAGGGAGTTGGCTTCTTAAATGTACTGATTCTTCCAGACAAACCTAGATACATGTTCAAATCAGGCATAGTGAAAGATGTCACTGGCAAATTTTCAGGCCTGGTTTTCAACAGGCATTATAAACTTCAATTGTGCAAACACAACATTAAATTCTTGCTACTGTTCATTTCTCTAACTAGGAATTTTTACCTAGTAAATTGCTTATGGCACTATATATACTTGATGACATCTAACAATGTAATCCAAAATACAAGATGTGGAACATTGTATACATACTATTGCACTCTTTTTGCTATTATTCTTTAACATACTATAAAAAAAATAAAGATTTCCCATTCACTTCAGTTTACCTCTGCTTATTTTAGCAGCAATGTAAAGTTCTGTAATCTATTCTGAAAGAATTGACTTAAGGCCTGACTGACTACTTTGGGCTCTGAATTGTGACCCACATCCTAGCGTCCAGCTGAAATTCCAGCCAATACTTAATAGTAGGTAGCACTTGCACACTTTTCAGCAAAGCTAAGTGCCTATAGCTATCGGTGACTTCAGTAACAGCTGTAAGGGTTTAATAACTAAAACAGTTCTCAAAAAGATCTTTATATTGCAAACCGTTATGTCAGTATATTTTTAAAGAGGCGTATTGAATTAAATAAAGAGAATGATATGTATGACTGTTCAAACATGTATAAATGCGTGCTTTTACAATGAAGGAAAACCTGTATCATGAAAGCAGTCACTTTCATCCACATCAGATAACTTGTAATTGTGCAGTGTGGAGGAAATCTTAAATAAGAAAAAATTAAACAGCTATAAGGATTAGATCTAAAAATCTTGCTTTTTTTTTAATTAAATACTTTAATATTATTTGTAGACAAACAAAAATGTTGTGTTGAAAGCTGGTGTGATCCACAGCATATTTATAAACAACTTACCAAAACTAAATACATTTGGAATTACTTTTTCTATGACAGGAAAACGACCAAGTTTCATAATAACGCAGGTTGCCTCTTCAGAATTTTCACTTTTTAAGTTGATAGCCATGTATCTCTGATGTGGTGAAATTCTGATCCGTTGAATAAAGGCATCAGAAAAGCCAAGATCTTCAGTACTGAATAGAATGTCAACATTTCCTTCATCTACTACATTAAAAACAAGAGATAGCAAAAAAATCCTGTAATTAAGGCACTGTCAAAATCAACAGTGGTTGTTAATACCTGTATTTAACAAGTCTGCCTGTAATACTCACAGGCATACTACTGGAATTTATGAACACCAAATATTTGTCTTGCAAGATATTTGCAAATGCACTTTGTAAAAATAAACAAAAAATTAGTTATGTAATTACAGTCTTATTATTAAAAATATATTAAAAGTGTAGTTCTTGGCTTCTAGTAAATGTATTAAATTTTAAAGTTCAGAAACCTAAGGCACAGTTGGTTTTACTAAATACAATTAGTAAAATTTTTCCACCCCTTCAGAAATAAAAAAAACATGAATGTGCTTTTTCTTTTTAAAGTGTTAAGTTAGGGCACTGGAGAGAAATGACTTCTCTCTTTCCTCTCCAGAAACTTGCCTTAGTATCAATATGTACTACTCCCTAACTCTCTTCACCTCACCTGTTCAGATTCAGGATTCCAGAATTATTAATCAATCATTAAAGAATTTTATAGAATTATTTTTAGTTATTTTAAGAAACAGAGCAATTAAGCTTTAATGTAAGAAAAGTACGCCAAATGATACATGCACAACATTTTTAACAATTGTACCATGTTAGGAAGAGAAGTCCCTTACCATCATCTGCTTTTGAAAGAAATATGCAGCCATTCTCTTCAAAGTACACATTCTCTCCAAACCTGATCTGTTCAATACAAAACAAACATGTTTCAAGTCCAACATATAGTTAGACTATTTCCTCAGAATCTCTATATTCAGTCATTGTTCTGTACCACACAATTGTACAGACACAAATGATGGAACACCACATATACATTTGATACTGAAGAACGAATTGCATGCATCAGAAAAGTTCTTTCAAAGTTAGGGTACGTAAGCTACCTATACCTGCTCTAAATTTAACAAAAGGCTCAGATCACCTGCAGTTGCTCTTGTAACTTACAATGTCTTGTATTCTTTATCAGAAAGTCAGATGATTATTGTCTCTTTACTTGCTTTTGCCTATGGAGAAATTAACGTAAATATCTTATCAGGTATAATCTGTTCTAAACACATGCTGTTACTATCCACAATTATTAAAATATTCAAAACTGCCAACATAAACCAATCAGTTAAACAGCTAGGAATGGCTTCACTACCTTTTATTTGTATACAATGATGAGTAATGTTTGGTTTTTTTGCCACTCACCCTTGGGCTTCCTGAATTGAATGTATACTTGTGCAATTCTTCCAAGTTTTCCTTGATTCTTTTTGTCATAGCTTTGTATCTTGCTGAAATGTCATTCCAGTTTTCCTGCTCTGATTTCAGAAGATTCTTGTACAAAAGCTCTGATGTTACTATGGATGTATTTTGTTTCCTTTTGGAAAGGATTTTTGTTCCTTCCTGCTAAGTAAGTAAAGACAACAATGGCTACAAGCCAGCACTCTGTACTCCAATACGAATATATTGAGGCAATAATGATATTTCCTGAGATACAGACCCCAAACCAACTTTGCATTATTACAATAGTACGTGCCATTAAAAAGAAAAACCACAGCCAGAATAAGTTTTTCTTTTCAATTCTTCCTGGTCTTTTAGGGAGGCATTGTCAAATGTGGCTTTACTTGACACAGTTATTGCAGTCTTCTGTTCAAAAGTTAGGGTGCTATTAATGTATGCTCTTAATTGATTATATGTAAATATGTTTGTTCTGGTTCTAGAACTAGTTTTTAGTTAACTTTATGGAATTCTGTTATTTTTCCTTCTTCAGAGGTGTTTTCTCATAATTTTCCTGTCTTAAGAGTATCATTTCTCATTTCCTTTCCTAGACAACAATGCCACCCACACCTCTGCACTATACCTAGGAGTCCTAGCAGCTTGTTCAGGTTCTTGCTCCACCTCCTTAAAAGTGTTAGTATAAATGTTCATAAGGTGCAGAATAAACTGAATGGGTTCTGCAACAGTTTTGTCAGAAATAAGTTTGAGGATCTAGTTTTCCATGATCCATGAGTAGAGTACTGCTACCTCATCCCCAAAAAAAGCTGTCTACTCTTGTAAAAACGTTAAAAGTGTGTTAAAATTGCTAGCACAATGCTACTTCTTTTTGCTTACTGTAAAATCTTGTTTGATCAAATAATAAGCTTAACAACATGTATCATTGCATGTGCTGCACCGACCACACAAAGTAGCATTTTATAACATTCGATGTATCATGTGAATGTGTCTAAACTTAAAAAGCAGCATATACTTTTTACCCCATCTTCACTTTGCATCAAGAACTGGTGATTTGTTCCTGGTTTGTCTTCACAAATGCATGCGATCTAAAATGTGAATGTTATAAGCAGACTTTGAAAGGAGGAGAAACTATCTGCTCCAGTTACCAAACTCCCTATGAATGCATACCATATAATTCATGAGACCATATTAGTGTTCATTACTGGTTCAGACCAACAGTCCCTCTAGCCTAGTATATCAATTCGTAAGCACAAGTCAAAGAAACTGTGAAAGCCCTCAAGAGAAGTGTAATTGGTCAAGGCAAAGAAATTGCGGGATGTGTTAGTTGTACCACAGTCACTGGAAAAACTGCTGTAAGAAAACACCATTCCCCAAACCAGAAGCAAACAAACAAAAACCCCACAGTGGCCACAAGTGGATATTTAGGGAAGCATAAGAATGGGACAAACAGAGATGATATCCCCCCAGCCTTCAACGATTTTAGCTCAGGAATTTCCTGAGCTGAATACGGTTTCTGGATATTTAAAAAGTCTGTTTCATGTACGTGTATCATCTCCCCTTGTACCTATGTAAAACTTTAGCATCCACAACTTATTTTGGCAACTTCCACACTTTACGAATCTTTTGATGATTCTCCTCCTTTTGTTTTTGACAGTTTCCATTGTATTTATTTGGAAATATTACATAGAGCTGGTGGCCACAGTGTAGGTATATATTAGAGTTACTGTACACCTCCCTGTCTGGGGAAAAACGAGTCATCTAGAAGAGCATCTAGAAAGATTTTGAGGGTACCAGAGGATCTCAGTGACAATCAGTTTGCAAATGTTTGCTCCAAAGCAAACAGGCGCAGCTTCCTTTCAGGTAAAAACCACTTGTTTGTATCCTGGACCTAGTGCTGTAGACCAGCTTTTCTAACTGTGTTAGCGAAAGGCCAATAAATAAACAGAACCACACATTCTCATCCATCAAGACTTACAGAACCACACATTCTCATACCATCAAGTATGTTCTCCTTGCAACATTTGTTTACATTTCAGACACACACTTAGGAACTGTTTACATTATGGTTAGAAATAAGAGGGTTACAACAAGATGATCTTTGGGTCACCTTTGAAGAAATATTGTCAACTTGAAACCATTTTAGAATGACCACACATCCATCTGAAAACATGTTTAAGACAAAATAATCCAAAACACCAATCTTTTTAAACAGCATTTATGCATTATGCATGTAAATCGGTTTGCAGGCTGTCATACTGCAGTAAGTTTTTATAATACCTTTAGCAAACTCTGTATTAGAAACACAGGAACAGAAGGCTGAAATTATTTCAGACCATTTTCTGACTGTGCATGATACATTGCCACCGATTTACGCAACATTTACTTCCAGAAATAAATCCAAGTACCTTTTTAAGTATAGTTTATCACATGTGAATACAATTATGAGAAGTCAATAGCGTACTTTAGTATTCAATATGGTGCAAACCATGACTTACTGGTCAGCACAGAAAAGGTCAAGTTTTGTTGAGACTGCTCACAGTGGTTAAGGCTGGTGTCATCAGTTTGGACACCATACCTCTACAGTAGCTGATCTCTCCCTGCAGTTTTCTCTTGACACTTCATCTGAATCTTTCTAGAAGATAACTATTTTTTTTTAAAAATTGCTACAGCAGAAAAATCAACCAAAATGCAGCTTTACATCAAAATGGTATAGGAAAGTTAAACAACAGTGTACGTCTTTGAACATAACTGAAATCCTAGTATTTATCCCCCTGCTTCAAACTCTTTAGGAAAAATGTGCTTCCTCGACATTTCAAAAATATGGCTGGCTTCATTAACAGATGTGCCAAGGTGGTTACGGCCATTAAGTCTATACTTAAGCAGCATACCTTGCAGGAAAAGAATCTCCACGGCAGGATGCTTCCAGGTGGCACAGTCCTGTGTGTGCACGTACTTCCTGAACAGTCCAGGATATGGCATTTTTTTGGTTTTATTTTACTATAAAGACATGTTGTTTGAAGACGGTTATGCTTAGAGTAGTATCTGACACTGAAGCTCAGCCCTTGGAGAAGATTTTGCAGTCCAACACAAGACGTCTTAACCTTCATTTCTTGATAGTCAACCTGAAATTTCTGAAAATCCCAAACTACTGATCATTTACACTGTGTATGTGAAATATACGTAACATAAACTGAAGGTAAAACTCCATGACTTTCAAAGAAATGAGGCTGATTCATTAGGTAAATCAGGTTAAGAAGAAACTGTAAAACTTAAGGTCTTTCTTAACAACTGGTACACACAGCTAAGCTTGCATATTAACCCGCTATGTTACTCCAAAACATGGTTCCTGGCAGTTGAAAGTTTAACTCTGGTGAAAGTATCAACGAAGAGAAAGCAAGGTGCAACTGTGCATGTTTAAATGTTGAAAAACCAAAAACGGGGAAGATTTTGGGAAGTTCTTTCCCCCTTTACACGTATCATATAACAATGAAATCACTTTCTCTCAAGAGGGTAACTTGACAGCACGGGCTGAACCCCCCTCGCAGGACAACTGACGGGTCTGCAGCTCTGCGGGGGGAAGAGGCCCACGCGTTTCCCCGCCCGCGGCC